TCAGAGTTATTGGACCCCCAACATTCTTCAAACTATCTTCTTTTGTGTTCAGCAGAAAAAAAGGACATCACACAGGTTTGGAACAGCATAAATAAAAATAAAATAAAATAATTTTTTTAGACAATTATAAGGCTTTAAGTACATCTGCACATTTTAAAAGAATAAAAAATTCTTCTCCACATCAATTCCTGTCCTCTCCACCCTAATAATAATTAAAAAGTCAACATTAAAAAAAAAAGAAGAAGTGCTTTTGGACTCGCACTACCTTCATTGCTGGCTAAATGAATGAATAGCAGTACCACAAATTTACAAAAGCACATTTTGACACATCTAAGATGCAAAATCCATAATGGATCCCAATGTTATAGAATGAATCATCCCTTCCAGCCAGCTAACAAATTCAATACTGTGATGAGATCCTGATCGTGACTTTCTCAGTGAAAGAGTCCCTTATAGATATAGCTTATCATGGCATCAGTGTCTGGGGTCGCTAAGACCATCCCACACCATTGACCCTGACAGGAGCTAAATATGGGACACCACCACGGTCTGCTGCAACCAGCCAATCAGAAAGGGCCACACTACGCAACATGGAGGTCAGTGAAGGCAAGAAGAATTTCTACAACTACAATGGAAAGCAATAGTGACACTGAAACATCAAATTAAGCTCTGCAGCAACTGATGCTTGACCCACAGAACAGATATTTCCCATGGCCTCCAGTTGCTCAGAGTTCTCCTTTATTCTGTATCACAGACAGTGATCAAGAGAATCTAAGCGTTTGCCCCAAGTGAACAATTTAATAGGAAAAAAGAAACAGATACAGTAGAAAGATAGATAAATAAATTTCAAAGTCAAACACGTTTCACAGGATCAAAGTGTAGACTGGGTTGGCATGTCCTCCGGGTGCCAGACTCAAAAGCTCTCTTGCTTTACATCAAAGAAGAAAGACATTTGAATTTCTAATCTCGATCCTATCAGCAGGCCTGAGGCTCGGCGACTGGCAAGAACCTGCGTATACAGGAAAACTAGGACAGTATCTGGATAGCATGAGAGGGATTCACACCTAAAGCCCAATTAATTATTTTCATTATGACTTCAGGAACCAAGCGGAAAACAGAGAGTCTGCGCACAGATAATTGAGCATTTGTGACTCAGCCGGAAAGTTTGTAATACTGCTGAAAGCATTTTGCTGAAAGGCCACAAAGATTTCTCAGACAATTCAGTGACATCTGCCACAAGAAAAAGTGATGTGATTTAAAACAGTTAGAGAGGAATCTGTTTAAATGAGCAGGTGCGATGCAAAAAAATCTCAGTTGCACTGCAGGACGTCCTGCAATAGGAGACACACCTGTTCAGGTGACATTTAGCTCCAGAAATGTCAAACATGACTGCGTGCACTCATAATTTCATGTATTATGCATCGCTTTAAAATGTGTGATTTGTGAAAAGTGTTCAGAGTCAATGTGGGGAGTTTCTCAACCTTCATAAAACTACAAATTTGCATCTCTGTCAATGCACCATTGATTTAAAAATAAACATGAAGGATGGATCACCTACATCATATACACTACGGTTCAGAAGTTTAGGGTCAGTAAGATTGTTTTTGTTTCTTTTGTTGACTTTAAAATAAACACTGTTCTTTTGAACTTTCTATTCATCAAATAATCCTGACAAAAAATGTATAATGGTTTCCACAAAATCTCTAATATATATATATATATATATATATATATATAGAGAGAGAGAGAGAGAGATAGATATAGATATTAATCAGCAAAACTATTTTCAACATTGATAAAAGAAATGTTTGTTGAGCAGCAAATTAGAATGATTTCTGAAGGATCATGTGACACTGAAGACTGGAGTAATGATGCTGAAAAATCAGCTTTGCACCACAGGAATAAATTACATTTTAAAATATAATAAAATAGAAACGGTTATTTTAAATTGTAATAATATTTCACAACATCACTGTCTTTACTATATTTTTGATCAAATAAATGAAGTCTGGATAGCATAAGAGAAAAAGAAACCTACTGACCCTAAAATTTTGGAAGGTAAATCAAGATTGATAAAGTACAGTTCTTTCTATCTATCTATCCATCTCTGCTCTGCCATGAGCTCTATCAGGCAGTCAACACAAACTCTTGCACTGACTGACAGCAGAGGCCACTGTCACTCATGTGAGGCTGTACACCTGTGGCGCTTCAGCTCTTGAATCAATTCCTTCCTGCTCTCCAGAGAGCAAGACACTTCACCAGTCCCTGCCTGCTATCAATCAAATAGAGCTGGATCTGTCAATACTACGATAAGCAACTTCAGCTCAGTGACAAGCAGTGACATTTTGGTGTTGGCAGGAGTGAAATGAGCCAGGTTGGTGAGAAGGAAAACATGCAGAATTTACCTACTTGATTTCAAGTTCATCAGCAACAGTCTCAATCCTAATTATACCCTATGTTGACAAATCTATTTCCAGTTTATTTATTTTTAAAACATGACTCTCATTCACATTTTTTTTGCTTCCTCTAGTCATGCACTTTAAGACAAAAAGGCAGTCAGTCGCCATTAGCCTTCATGTACATTATGCTGTACATAAATTATCTGTAACGGTACTTGAGAACCATCTAGTGGTCAAATAATGTGACGACAACAAACATTTCGGAAAGTCAACACATGAAACTGCCAGAGTAATAATCCTATCATTTATTCTAACCACCACCACCAAAACGAGTGTCCACTCATTTAATCTTATGTCATGTGAATAACCACAATTATTTAGCATTTTTATGAAAGTACAGATAATGTACTTTGCTGAAAGAAGGAAAAAAAACTGGATTAAATGGGTCGGACCAGCTAAAATGTGCCCAAAATCCTAAAACTGTCCAACAGACCAGTCAGCAAGACCAAATCTTAGGCTGGTTTAAGGTTTTTTTTTTTTTTTTTT